TATGTACATATATGTCTGTGTGTTTTATTAAGATAGAGAAAACGTGCTTTACGGTGGCAGTGCCCCCATTTTGCTCTAGGACGTTACTCATCGCGGCTGAAAAGCGGCACGAAGCACCCCGTGTGTCGCATTTTGGGTGTGCCGAGCCGTGCTGGCCTCAGGCCTTTCGCACCTTGGCTCCTACCCCGGGGGAGCCGCTGCGCCTTCGCACTTGTTGGGGCGGCGAGACCCGGGCGCCCCGGGGGGGTGTTAGCCGCTACCTAAAGCCTTGGCGGGGACAAATCTGCATGCTCCAGGAGCTGGTGGTTTCTTGCCTTGTGCAATTTTTTTCCACGTACCTTATCAGGTGATTTATTAGTGCTGTATATTTTATTTTATTTGGCTTTTATAAAGCCTGCGCTGGATGTAGCCTTCAGATGACAACCGGGAGTGACTGAATCCTTTCTTTCCAGAGGTTAAGTAGTTAAGTGTAGCCTCCCTCCAAGCTGCCTACAGCCCGGCAGTCTGCATTGCACTGCTGGCTGTTTCTTACTCAGTTTGCCAGCTGTTTTGTAATTGATGCAATATAACTTCTACTTTTTTATATGCAATTTTATGTAGATGTGTATTTTAAGGCTTCATTTTATATTGCCCTGTATGTTTTGGAAGTCAGAAGTGAAAGAATCTGGAGGGGGGAAAAAAATCAATCCTGCTTCAGTGTAGTGTTTGAGAATACAATAAATATTTGGGGAATTAAAGAAAATATTTTTGTCAGTGTAAAAGAATGGCTGTGTTAAATACAAACAAACTGGTATTTCCTGATCCCTAAGTTTCTCAAGACAAGTTGGGTTTTTTTCCTTTTTTCTTACCCCCCCCCCCAATGGACTCTTACATATACAAAAAAAATGAAGAGCCATGAAGAGTATTATCTAAAACTGTTTGAATGTAGAACAATCAGAGTTTTATTTGGTGTATCTGTACATCTGCTTTGCATAAAGGACTTCATCCCTGCAGGGTTCACAAGTTTCTGAAACACTTGAAAGCCGTTAGCAAATGAATTAATTGTGTAGTACTCTCACGCACCTGTTTGTACATGATTGTCAACTTTGATTGGTGTATACCTCTTGGTGCCGAAACTTTGAGTATACTTTTGCCTTTCTTCAGAATGGGGACTTGTACCCAACTTTAGGATTTCTTAAAATTATTTTTTTTTTAAACACTTCAGTAGTTGTCCAGGTTATTACTGATTTCACTGAGAATCTGTCAAAATCACTGCTTCGAATTATTTTCCTACCAAATCCTAGTTTGCTACTTCTAGGCCTTTTAGAGCTATTTGGAAAGCTTAGGCACTGTTTAGACAGCACAGGGCTTGCAAGTTCGTGTAGGAGTAAACTTTCAAAATTATATGTAAAGAAAAAAGAAAAGTGACCAGAAATGTGTGAGCTTTTTTAAAAAAAAATGAACCCAAACAAAACATGAAGAACACCACCAGCCTTTATGGAATGATCATACAGAAATACAGGAAAAACTTCTTTTTACAATTATGATAAATGAGTGTGGTATGAGATGTTTGCATGCATTTTGCTTTTTACTTTTATGATTTAAAGTGGTGTATTTTGGTAAACAGTGGTAGCTTAAAGATTTAGGAGAGACTAGGCTTGTGAGAACAAACGCTATTTTAAACCCCTTCTGACAACTGTAGTGGGAATGCAAAGCACTTCTTTAATATAGAGTCTGCAAGGCAGCAACTAATAAAAATATATGACTGTTTTTAAAATGAAGCCAAGGAATCTTTCTAGTAATTATCAGCTCAAGTGTTTTTAACAATCTGCAAGGAACTGTCAAGCAATAAAAAGCAGTGTGAGCAGCCTTTGCAGTTCTGCTTTTCCCGCATCCCTAGAGCCAGCTTTTCCATCCCAGTAGGCAAAATTAGATCTGCTCACTTAAATTCATGCTAGTAGCAACATCAATGCTGGCTTAAAAACGGATGGTTAGGGCAAATAATTTGAGATTGCTAATGGTGGCCTTTGCAGCCTCAGGGTGAAAATGAACTTGATTTCAAGAAAAAACTTGAACTCGATGAAATAACAGTGGATTAGGCATGATTTAGGAACATTTCTGCAAAATTATAGGGTAGTTGGGTCTAAGCCGATGCTGTAACCTAGTTGTAAGATGAGCTTTGAGTTTTAGGGCAGTTTGGTTGTAAACCCTTCTTTGCTGTCCTTCTGTAGGTGGTTCAGCTTTGTGAAATGTTTTATAACTGAGCCATGCCAGAACCACTGTTACCGCCTGTCTGGTACAGTATCTCCTAATTGAGGGTGTCTCTCCCCTTTAATGTTCCCTTGGTGGTTTTATACTATCAGTATGTAAAGTTGAAGCAAAGCAGCCTCCGGGCATTATTGCAACACAAATAATGTGACGCGAGTAAACAGTTATAGGAAAAAATGAATCAGGTGGAGGGACTTAACTTTTTTACCTGGGCCTTTTTGGTTATAGCTGCACCAAGGCAAAAAGCAGGTGCTTGAAAGGTTACTGCTTTTCTTCTGGAGAGCTGTATTATTCATGCAATAAATTACATTCTTACTCAAATACTGCTGTATTTCTTCTAGAAGCAGATCAGTAGGTGTCAGTTCATTATTATCATTCATAGCAAATGTTTCTGTATGGCTGTGTTTCAGTGTGTGCAATATTAAATTAGTGTTTGGCAGAAGGACATAATGACTTACGCATGAAAAAGTGTAATAGTGTGTGTTTAAGACACTTCCTGACTTAAGTATTTAAGGGAGGAGATTTTATGCTTACCTGAGAAATTGTGCCCTTTGTGTGATGTGATCTTGGTTACAAAGAGACCGATTGCAGCTTTGGCAGGAGTTGTGCATGTACTTGTCATCCAGCCACAAAATGTGCTTTCCATGCTCTCTAGAAGGCTTTAATTTGCTTTAGTGGGCATGAGGGTATAGAGATGTGTATCTTAACAGGGAGGGAAGTAGTCTTGATGTTATAATTTTGAATGCTATCTTAGAGAGATGGTATATTTCTTAGTTCTTGTAATACAAGAAATAAGCAATAGTAAAAATTAAACCTAGGAAGAGTAGTGTATTTATTTTTCCTCTCCTGTACATATAAATATTTACTTATTCATGTAAAATAAGACACTATGCCTTAATCTCCAAAGCAGCACAAGGTGCAACTGTAGTTTTAAAGGTTGGATTTTCACTGTAAAAGATACCATAACAAGTTTATCTTGGAGTAGAACTGAAATGTTTTATATTATTTTTATCTCAGATTACTTATGCTTTTAATGCTGTATCAAAGCATATTAAGCATTTTTAGAGTTAAAAAGTCTGATTACTTTTTTTTTGGTGTTTAAAACCATGGTGTCAGATACTTTGTTAGTGATGGAGACATAACTATGTGCCTTTGTTTTGTGTATATGCGTATGTCATTTAAGAATAAAAATGGAATGTCAAGTTGCAGCTTTCCAAAATAAGAATTGGCTTTTGGCTGTTTTCTCATGAATTGGGAAATTTATGAAAATGCCTGGGAATGGGGATGGCTGGCAAAGGGCATTAAAGTGTGGCACAGCTTGACATTTTAGCTAAGCGACCTTGATGGCTGGATGAAGATGGGGAAGAAAACCCTGCCCTCAGCTGTGTGTTCCCACCATTTCTCATCTCCTCCAACAACCAAGCATAGGAAGATCAAGTGCTCTGGTTTTTGAAGTTTCAGCTTTCTGTTGGTTTAGCTCCATGACTTGGCTCACTGCAGGGCTGGGTGAACTCGTGTCAAGACGAAGTGAGGCAGCAGAAATGCATGGGGAGGGAAGAGAGGCTGCAGCCTGCTGAAATGCTTCACTGTTGGGTTACTCTGGCTGCATTGCAAGACATCACCTGTACTGGGAAAGAGCTGCTGTGTTTTAAGTTTGTGGCCAAGTCCATTTTTATAATTTGATATGCCCTGACCTGGCTGTTTGTTTGCAAAGATCAGATTTCAGAGGTTTGTGTACTTCAGTAGGCCCTATATGGGAAAGGAAGACAAGCAAAATTATGTGGGGGGTAAGGTTTTCCTGCTTGTACTGAAATATATTTGTTTTAGGTCTCAGCTTTTAGAAAATATTCTTGAATTTTTAAAGGCTAAGAGACAAGGGGGAGGTAACCTAAATGAATAGTAGCTCAAAGAGTATGTCCATAAAACATGAAATCCTTTCTTGCAGAGAAAAAACAAAGCTTGTTGAAATCAAGTGTGCTCTTAATTTCTGGGTCTGATTGCTGGCTCAGTGTAATAACCTAGTTTGGATCAGTTGTGCATTAATGCATAGATCAATTTGAATGAAATTGGTAGTGATTAAGCATTTCAAAAGGAGACATTTAAGTGTCTTAATTTTAGAAGATGGTGACATCAAGTGTGTATGGTTCTTTTTTTCTTTGCAGGTTGTCTTGGAGTGGAGTAGAGACCAGTATCATGTTATGTTTGATTCATACAGAGACAACGTTGCTGGCAAATCATTTCAGAATCGGTGAGCTTTACTTGCAGTTGACAGTATTGGACATTTTACTGTTAAGTGAATTTTCAAATATTTAAATTAAATACTCTAGATGAAGTAACAGACTGTTTAGTAGGACCTGCATCTGGTGATAATCTTAGCAGTATAGAGAGAACATGAGATGCTTTCCACGTTAAGGTAGGAGAATATAAGTACTGTTCTTGTGCACCTAAAATTCTATCTCTCAGTGTTTTTAAAAGTTATTTTTCATTTACCTTACATTTTGTTTGACATCTCCTGAGGGACATTTAGTAGAGAAGTCACAAAGCTAGCAAGAAGAGGCTTTTTAAAGCTTAGTGCCTGGGAAAAGTCACTCACAGCAAGTTGGAAACAAGTCATATGGGTCATTTGCTTCAGTTATGTTAACTGCTGCATGACTTCTTGTGGTTTCATCGTTCGTGTCTGAATAGTTGTGGGGTGTGTTGCTCAGGAAGTCAGTGGACTGTGAATTATTACGTGGAAGAAGCTACTAAGGAGATATCATCTGACTTGTAGTGTTGATACACTTGACTGGAAAAAAAACCAACCAAACCAAACCCTGAAAGCAGATGCTTAATCTGCTTTGAGGTTTATTTGAATCATGAGACAGTAGAAATGATCAGATCAGTTTGTCAAGCTTTAGTTGCTGCAGGATAACTGTAAAAGTATATTGCATGGCAGCAGTGAATCCTATGCACTGTTATATCTTACTGTCCTCCCCCATCTCCCAAAGGATGACAGATGAAAGCAGAGTGATAGAGCTTATATGGATGATCTCAGTGTAAAATGTAGACAAATTTGTGCATGTGGGCAAGCTCTTCATTATAAACTCAAAAACTCTTCTGCCTGAGTAGCATAAAAGCAGTGATGTTGCTAGCATTGTGAGTCACACCTATTGAATGCTCTTCTCTGCCAGACCAAGGAAAATTCTTGTTCTGCCTTGGAGTTTAGCAGTTGCTTTTGTGTGCTTTTCCCTCCTGTCACGTATCCTTTGGCAACCCAGCTGTTCTACTTTCCAGGCAGTCACATCAGCTGCTAAACTTTCTACTTGCATTGCCCTGGCTCTTACACAGCTTGAGACAGTGGAGTAGAAATTCCAGGGCTTTTTACCAAGCACCCCTCACCCAAACCCATTTTTAAAGACTTAGTTACTTTAGGTAAGGAAATGAAATAATGGAATTGCATGCATGAGAGTCTTGGATGAGTACTCTATTTTATTACTCTTTACCAGCAAATCCTGCATTTTGGCAAATGCTGAAGTATAATTTTGCTATTCTAGGACATGACCAAATTGAATTTAAAACTCAAAAATATGTACAGAAACAAAATGTGAAGGAACAGTCGTCAGGTTTTAAAATGTCCAGGCTGATTTCAGTATGGTACAGCAAGTAGGAGCCATCGGTGGTTGGGGAGCCATTACATGTTGAGCAGAGTGAGGCTGGAGAGAGGAAAAGATGCACAAATTAGGGAGCCAAGAGGTACTGGGGTGGGAATAGCAGTGGAACAGCTGAGCTGCACTTGGTGGGTATTTACAGAGATGTAATGGGCAGGAGGGCTGGGAGGTTTGCAGTGGGGAGCTTAAGGGTGTAATAGACTTTCATTCCTTCATGAAGAGGCTCAATAAGGTCGGAGATTGCTGTATGATCTTAGGAGATCACGTGTAGCTTGGGAGAGATCCAGAGGCTGCCGTACTCCTTCAGCAACTGTGGATGCTGAGGCAGTGACCTTTTGTCTTCTGCCTGCACTCTCAAGTCAAAAAGACTTTGCATATTAAAAATAATGTTTGGGAAGGATAACATGGAAGTGTCTTTCCTGTTCCTTTTTAATTTTAAAGCAAAATACCACTACATGCTTTTCAAAGTATAAAGTCTCAATACTCTTTAAGAAGCCATTAAACCAACCAGAAAGCTTTGGCAAAGACTAAAAAGGTGTTACTGATCCTAATTGGGAGCAACAAATTAAGTTGTGTGTGAAATCTATTTTTTTAGTATTATCATGCTTGATAACCACTAGTTTCTCAAACAATGTATGCTGAAAAAATGCATTAAAAAAATTTATCTGGGTATTTGGACAAATTTTAAGCAAGTAGACTAGCGGATCTCCAAACAGTTCACTTGCTTTAATAGCCTTTTTCTTCCTCTTCTCTGTTGCCACTGGCAGTGAAGGATAAGCTTGCCGTGCCAGGGTTAGTTCAGAGTTGACATACCTGCATCTGACCAAAAATGCCTTTCCTCCAAGGAGTTTATTAGCATTTGGCTGTGTGAGACTTAATTTCAATGGTAAAAATTCAGTTTAGCAGATTACGTAGTTATATGTACATACATACGTGTGTGTGTGTATATATATACACACTATATATAGTTATAGTACACTTTTAGCAAGTCATAAATTGGGGAGAGGTTTCACAGAAGTGAAAATTGCCTCGTAACCTAGAAAGAGTTGGAGTTCAGGCTTTTTTTTTTTAAAAACATTTTTTGTTCTTCAGTGGAGCCTGGGTAAATAAACTCTGCACTTTGCCCAAGAGACTGAAGGTTGGGTGTATTTGAAATCAGCTGACTTGAGTCAGGTGCTTCCACCTAGAACACGCTTGTCCCAGCTGTAGCAATCAATGGACTCTCAATCCAGTAATTTAACTGATCACAATAAATACAGAAAATCTGGAAGAGCTCCTGCCATTGAATTTCTACTCATGTGGAGGACTTTTTAGTTCAAAACATACCTTGAGTTGTACCTGTTCATGAACCAGAAGCTACTGTCATCTCTTGAGAAGGAGGTGAAATAACTGATTAGAAGGGTATTTGTATTCAATAAATTGAGGTTTTTGGGTTTTTTTTGGCCAGTTGAGGGGGTAGCCTCCTGCAGAGTGTTGCATGTCAGAGGTGAGAGAGACTTTCTGGGTGGTGCTACTGGGGAGGGCAGAGCTGCTGCTTAGCTGTTCAGACTGTCTCAGAATGACCCACCGTGTCCTCGCTCAGTTAGGAACAGTGATGAATTGAGCACAAAATGTTGCTGTCTGTTGTGCTGTGATCAGCTACTGGCTGCCCCTTAACCAAATTTTGTGCTTCAGTTATTTGAATCTCAGCAAGTAGAAAGTGAACCTGGGTGGAAGTTGTCTGCATGTCATAATGGGCAAGGGAAGGTTGAGGAGATGCTCACATATAAGCCTGTCTGTTCTTGAATGCTTTTTGAAGGATGCAGTTGGTAGGGAGGGAACACCTTTCCTTGGAAACGCCACTATGTGACCCCATGAATCTTAGAAATTCGAGAAATGCTCTACAGTTTAGGAAAGTATTGAATAGCTTGACATGGAAACTTTTGAAAATAATAGTTGGGACATCCTCTTGCTGTCTGGGACTGAGAGGTTCACCTTTGGCTGCAGCCTTGAGTACCTGTTGAAACAAAGCTGTGTGCCTCAAAGAGGAGATTATCATAAACAAGTAGAAAAAAGGTACACAAAACTCTTTCTTTTCTTCTGCCTTAGGTATGCTAGGAAATCTGTAACTGCCCAGAAACAGCTCCACACCACTCAATTGTGAAACAGTGAATTTGACTGCTGTGTCTAGAGTCTGAATTCATGTACCCTACTTAGGTTGTTGGTTTATGAAATGCCCTGTTACTAATATCTAAGAGGCATTTCTAGGATAGAGATCTGGTCCTGCTGAGAGCTTATTGAGTCTGTGTAATTAAATAAGAGCAAGTATCATTTAAGTCCTTGTACTTCATGCTGTCGTTTCTAATGTAGTTGGTGAATTAAGGATGTGCCTGGATGTTGGTACTGATTTGAGAAATATTTATGGGTTCAAAGGAGTTGGGTTATAGGTTAATGTTGATGAAATTTAAAACAAAGTTTAGTTACTGAGCTCTTATAGCCACTTTGTCCTTTTTGGTTTTGTGTCAAAGGCTTGTGTATAATTAAGGGATGATATATATAGCTAAAGAGAAGCTTTTTGCTTTGTCTTGTTTGCAGCCCGGACTGCAAGCATTTCTGTTGTTAGACAGAAATTGCTATTGTAGGATGCTACAAACACTTGTAATGTAATATTAAACAGCTCATGTAGCTTTCATTTGAATTATGTAGGCTTTGTTTACCCATGCCGATTGATGTGGTGTACACCTGGGTGAACGGCACAGATGTTGAACTGATCAAAGAATTGCAACAGGTCAGAGAACAGATGGAGGAAGAACAGAAAATAATGAGGTAACAGTCTTATGTACTTTTTTCCTTCAACCAACAGCAGCAATCTAATGCAGTACTAGCCCTTTTTGGTTTTCTCTCGTGTTACTCAACATGAAAATTCAAAGCGCATTTTCCCACTTCATTTGCTTACTCTCAGAACCTTGTTTCAGTTCTACATTTCACTATGAAGTACTGTCTAATCAGAAAACTGTTTAAGATACAAAGCATAATAATTTAAAGTAATTAAGGCTGTTATATCTTGAATTTTAAAATGCCATGCAGAAAACTGTGCTTTGTGTATGTCATTTTGTGTTGATTTCTATAACTCATTTTATAAATAATAATAATACTATATCTCAAATGTATAGCCTCTCTTCATCACCTTCCTCTTCTTTACCTCCCTCCTAATTATGTTTTTTTATAATGGCCTTAATAAAATCTTAAGCTTGTGTTTCTTAAAGGCTCCTTTTTAAAGTTAGATTTGTAGTCTCCCAAACACTGAAACTGAGAAAGGAGAAAATAATTTCTTCATGTTATAAAGGTATGAGTCAGCTTTCAAATGAGGAGAGAAAGACCTGTTTTTTCTGCATTTGGTGTTATAGATTGTACTATACAGTTCTGCAAAATTCCTCATCTAAGGCTTCAAACACAGGCTGCTGCAGATACCCTGTATTGTGTCTTGTAGCCATTGGCTTAGTTCTTAAGTCACACGTCCACAGAGTTGCTTATTGTTTTGCCCAGAGAATATGTTAAATGGAAGAACAAGTTTGTATTTTAAGGGGTGTAATAGTTTAATTCCGAATAATCTGAAATGCAGAAGTGAGTGGATTGATCTGATTTTTGACATGTTATGACTTGCAATTTAGGTACAAATTGCAGTTGTTTGTTGCAATTGTGTTGAATTGTCGATTCAATCACAAGTCAAATTCTGAATCTTGATTTTGCTGTCTAAGCAATGGAAGTATTAGTAGAATTTGAAATCCGTTAAGTTTAAACATCTTAAACATAGACATGGTCTCTGCTCTGAAAAGTTTTCAAATTTATACTAACCTTTTCCTGGCAGTTCATATAGCAAATGTTAGTGGTTTTAGCTTTGTCATCACTCATGCTGTGGTTCCCATTTTACAAAGGGAAAAACATACACATTTTATTTTTCCATGACAGTGGTTTGGAAAGTTGATATCAAGCTTCTGAGTAAGACTCGTGTCCATGCCACATTTGTTATCTACAGTGGCAGCCTTGTAGATGACTTTTTAAATGTACTTTGAAAACAGGTAGCACTGTTACAGGAAGAGCTGTTTCATGGGATCAAGATAACTGCAGAAGACAAAGGCAAGGAGGCTGTAAACCTCTGCTAATGAGTGTGTGTATTTTGTATTGCATAGCAAAACTTAGTAAGTTGTAGCTTTCTTGTTGTTACACCTGAATCGAGCTAGTTGTGGTCCAGATGCTTTATTCTTCAGTGGGAGAGAGTAGCTTGAGGGATGATGGTTCTCTTTCTGTTGGTGTCTGTAGAAGGATGCCATTCTGATATTATTGTGATTATTATTTAGCATTAGCACTGCACTACCTTTATATTAATCCTCATTAGCTTCTACAGGCACATGGCAAATGCATGATGGACCTTATCAGAACATGTAAGTTAGGCAAAACAGCCAAGTCTGCCTAGTTTCAGGTTTCTTCATCCTGGTTTCTCACAAGTGTTTTTCATATCAACAGCACTTTCATTAAGTAATCCAGTAATAACACCTGAAAATCCTGTTAGCAAAAAGAGTCCCGCCACCACAGCTGTCAGCACAACCACGAATTTCTGAGCTACGCTCTGTGAGGGTGAGCAGTGAGGGGCATCTCTGTCAGCCTGCGCTTGCCTGGGCAAGGCAAGTAGCAAGGCCTTGGCAGCTTTATAACTGGGTTATCGGTGCTTTCACAGGGTGTCGCTGATTCAATTAACAATCTGAAATTAGACCAAATTCCCTTCTGTCAGCTCAGTGTTATTTAATGTAGTTCTTTTAATTTTGTAATAGGGAAATCCTCGGAAAGAATGCAACAGAACCAACAAAGAAGAGGTGAGTTTTTGTGGTTTTGGGCATAAATTGGAATAAATTATATACTGCCTATTGTTAGCTGAAAGCAGATGCTGGCTGGGGAGTTGTTGGTTTTCTATAGCCTGTGCATGCTTTTCTTGTATGTCACTTCAAGAAAAGTTGACAACATGATAATATATTTGTTGAATAAAAGTGATGTTTTGGTGATATTTATGAATGAGCTTAAAATGTGACAATTTCTGAAGTTCAGAAAGGATATCCATGTCACTGGTTAAGCACAGTTCCTAGTCCAAGTATGGATTTTTAATGTACCTGGAGTGTTATAATTCAAAAGCATGAAAATTTTTTCAGTGTTGCTTTCAGCTGCCATTTGTGTCCATGACACTGCAAGTAATTGTCTCTGGAGGGGCCAAGTCTCTGGTGCCTCTGTGCTGCCAAGAAGCGACAGGGCTTCGTCTGTCCCATTCTTCATTTGACTTGGTCATTCTGCTATTTAGAGATCTTTATATAAGGTCTTCTCTGTGGCCAAACTTTGTAATGTTTTGATTACAAAAGGTTAATCTTTTGATCTTTCTTTTTGAAAGAACCGTTATGACAATGAACTACACTGCAGCAATCAGGTATTCGCCTTCTGCAGCAAAATAAGCATCCTCCTAGTAATTTCCCCCTGCCCCAGCAGATGTTAGAAATAATTGATCAAATTTTACAGAAACATCTCTCATTGCATCTAACATTGGTTTTTGTCTTGAATCTAGTACTTGTACAAAATTTATCTTTGTTATTTTGCTGTAGTGAGAAGCAACTGGAATGTTTGCTGACACACTGCATCAAAGTGCCAATGCTTGTGCTGGACCCTGCGCTGCCTACCAACGTCACACTGAAAGACCTCCTGTCCATTCATCCCGCTCTACAAGCTGCTAACAATATGTTCTTTGTAGCAAAACCAAAAAATCCTTCTACCAACGTGACAGTAATTGTTTTTGATAGCCCTAAGGATGGTAAGAACCTGTTTGTCAGATTCCAGCCAGTTTTCTTAAGGAAGCTTTGTAGTAAACTGCTGTGAATTTCAGTTGTTTTTCCCTCCAGTACTGACTCTTGCCACTAATTTTCTGTTTGACTTTAGCAAGTCGTTCAGCATCTCTTGTCCTCAATCTGTTCCTCTAAATGATGACATTAATGATACTGTTTGCTTACCTCCCAAACAACTGATTAAAGCATGATTAGAGTTCCATGCTTTAAAAGCCTATCGCAAAACAGGTTTGATATCTGAATATCTGTGTTGTGCTGATAACCTCAGAAGACTGAGGTTTAGGCTGAGGAAGATTAGTTTTAGAAATCCTCTTTTAATTGCTGTGAAGTCTAGTTCGAATATTGTGCAATAAGTTATGCCTTTGCTCAAAGGATTGCATATCTTAAAACAAAATTATCCATGTGTTCAGCATATGTAAGTAGGATCTTAGAGCATGTATGGGCTTCTCATTTTGTTTACTATGTAGTGCCTGAGCACTTCCCTCCACTAGTCCAACCACTGGTGTTCATTTTACTACCAAGAATTATTTCCAGTTATAAAGACAACTCTTCACACCATGAGTATCTAAATTCTTTTAATTTGCAAAAGTATATCTTAATTACTAGAATATACAAAAGAAGTTACTTTCAGTTTTTGATTTGCAATGCATTTTATGTTTTCTAGTTGAAGCTGCTCATTCTGGAATGTTAAAACACAGCAGCAAACAGATAGTATGGAGGGGTTACTTGGTATGTACTTCTAAAATTTGTTGATGAGGTTTTTTTTATATGTTAAACTTTTTGTACATTTTTAGAAAGTGTTTCTGTGCTATTCTCTTTCCATAACTCACATGTAGTGAGAAGTGAAAGCTTTTAAAATAATCCTTATTTCAATTTTGCAGTTTGAGTGGCAAAGTATACACTATTAAATCTGTCGCCTGAATTGCTGTAAATTTAAAAAAGTCTTTATACCTTGTTTTCTTATTTTTAGACTACTGACAAAGAAGTTCCAGGCCTAGTATTAATGCAAGACTTGGCCTTCCTTAGTGGATTTCCAGCTACATTCAAAGAAACAAATCAGCTGCGAACAAAACTACCGGAGAGCCTGGCCTCTAAAGTAAAACTGGTAAGGGTCTGTAGGAA